GCCTATGGTTAGAGGAGCCCAGAAAAGGAGGTGCACCCCACCTGGTATTCCACAGGCTGGCGTCACACTCAGAAGGAGACACACAGGCTACCAGGCAAAGGAGGAGCTGCGGAGTGGAAGGTAACTGTCTTCCTTTAATCTCTGTTAGTGACTAAACACTGACCACAGCCTACTTGTAGGGGAGAAGGTTTAGTTGGGTTACACACTGGGTCATAGTCCAGCATGAAGGGGAAATCAGGGCAGGAACCCAAGGCTGGAACTGAAGCAGAAACCATGAAGGATGCTGCTTACTGACTTGCTCCTCACGGCTTGTTCAGCTTGCTTTCCTATGCAGGATCACCAGCCCAGGGATACTTCTCAGTTGAGGCTTCCTCTTCCCAGAAGACTCCAGCTTGTATCATCTTGACAAAAATTCCAACCAACACAGGTACCCAGCAGACTTACACTCTGTCGGTGGGACCAGGTAGAAGCAAGTATGAGACCCACCGTGTCATGAGTGTTGCTGAAGTTTGGGATCTTGCTTTCACTTAAACATGCAGGGACAAGACACAGAAACAGGATCCTGGCTAACACTACTGTCCTTTTCGACCTTGTGTGAAAGGCTACTCCCTTCCTAAGTCTCAGTTTCCCTATATGTTCAATCAGAGTAGATGAGGCCTGCACCCCTCCTAGAATTCCTGTCACATCAGAGCAGAGGGACCCTCCCACTGAGAAGAGTCATGGTGAAAGCTTGGAGGTAGAGAGAGAGAAAGAGAGTCTCATCCTCTAGTTCCTGGGGCTGGAAGGTAGCTGTGCCCAACCCCCACCTCCCAGCAGATGGAGCAGTAGTAATACCTGGGTGGAGAGCCCTGACCTCCAGGAAAACACCCCATTCCTCCTCCCAGCCACTGCTGTTTTGAAACAAATGTTTGAGACAGAATCGACTTTCTCCAGACCTTGGGTTGCCACAAACACCCTTTCCCTCCTCCAGTGAATGTGTGTAAACACACATTCTTATGCACAGCCTCATACCCTGCACAGACTAGGGTCAGCAATGTTCTCAACGGCCCTAAGCTATTGCCTAAAGCATGCTTCTATTTAATCAATGGACACAGAATGAGGCTGCAGTGGTTACTTTTCTATTGGGATAAAAAACACCATAGCCAAGACGATTTATACAAGGAAGAGTTTACTTGGCTTACCGCTCCTGAGGGATAACAGTCTGACATGGCAGAGATGCGCCGCAGCAAGCCACAGACTTGGCGTCAGAAGCAGAGGACTCATAGCAAGCCACAGACTTGGCGGCAGAGAACTCATAGTTTGCATGGCAAGCATATAGCAGAAAGAACTCACGGGAAATTGACAGAGGCTTTTGAAACCTCAAAGCCCGCCCCCCAGTGACCCAGTGACGTATTTCCTTCAGCCAGGCCACGCCTCCTAAACCTACCCAAAGAGCGTCACTAACTAAGCTCCCTGAGGACACTGAGGATGGAGATGGCTTAGAAACTGAGGATGGAGATGACCTAGATGCACCCCTTCAGGACCCCCCCCCCCATCATGAACATGAAAGCAGCACACTCTGCCATCTTAGTGTACTATGTACCTAACGTAATCATGGCATGGGAGCCGTTGCTGCTGGGCTACGCTTGGGTCTGAAGCGTGGACATGCGCATGGAAGATGAGAGGTGCTGGGAAGAGCAAGTGCCCTGGGCGAGCCAGAATTCCCCAGCTAGGACCATTGCGTGCCAGAAAGATAAATCAAGGCGGGGTCACAAACTTGGCCAGTGGGAGGCTGGCAAGCGCTGGCCGCCAGGGGCGAGCATTGTGGGGCATTCACCCAAAGCTCTGGATGAGATCAGGAGCCAGGGAAGGACTTGCAGCAGGGGCACCCCATGGAGATTGTCATGTGAGGGGTAGGAATGGTCTCCCTCCCCTATGGGTCGCCTTATTATCATCCTTCATAGCCAACCCAGTGGTCCCTCATCCTACCTCTGAGGGATTTTCACACTTATTCCACCATTGTGGAATATGCACCATCCATCCTCCCCTGGGAACGGGTGCACATCCTTGCTCATTGTAAGTTCCCAGTGAGTGCATAGAGCCTGGCTCCCAGCAGGTGTTCCCGAGTAGGAAAAGAAAAGAAAGGGGAAATTCCGGGGGGGGGGGGGGAGTCCTCCCTGTGATGGCTATTCTTGCTTGTCAGCTTGACTACATGTGGAAGTAACTAAAAACTCCGAGTCACTGGGGCACACCTGTGAGGGGTTTTTAGTTAACTGAATCATTTGAGGTAGGAAGACCTACCGTAAATCCAGGTCATTTGAGATCAAAAGATCGTCCCTAAATCCAGCCACACCTCTCATAGCAGCCTGAATCAAGGACATGGAGGAAAGCAGCTTTTGCTTTCTGCCTGCTTGCCCTCATTCTCTCGGGCAAGTTCATCTACCCTGTGCTGGGGCACTCCTTCACTGGCATTAGAGCCTACTTCTAGAGTATACTGGAGACCAGCTGAGACATCGAGCCTCATGGGCTGAACAACTATTGGACTCTTGGACTTTCTGTTGGGAGACAGTCATTGTCGAATTAGCTGGACCACAGCCTGTAAGACACTCTAGTAGATCCCCGTTTAATACATACAGATTCCTTCTATCAGTTCTGTTCCTCCAGAGAGCCCTGACTAATCCACTCCCTCCCTACTCTTTCTCTCTCCATGTCCCCACACTATGTCTACACCTCCTGTAGAACCAGCTGGCAGACTGGCAGTGGTCATGTTTACGCACACACACACCTACACACACACACACACACACACACACACACACACACACATATCAGACTGTCCTCTAAGTGACAGGCATGCGTGTTGCTAGAGGGCAGATCTCCTTAAAGCAGGCAGTATTACTGGGCAAAGAACGTCTCTCTTTGTACCCACCTAATCCTGTCTCCACACCCCACTCAAAGCCCCTAGTTTGAACTCAGTAGAAAGTTCATATCCTGAGGCAACTTGGGAGCCAAGAGTCCTCCTTTTCCCAACTGGGCAATGTCACACACAGACTTGGTGGCAGAACGGACAGCACCCTTGTCTATGCCCTGTATCCAAGAGAGCTCATGCAGAAAGGATACAATGTATGCACTTTGCAAACCAAAAATCAGTATACACAGACTAGGGTTTACTCCTGGAGGCAGAAAGCTGCACCACTAGTCCAGCCCAGGAAGCTGAGAAAGTTTGACCCATATTTTCAGGGTTTATTCATCTCAGCACTGAGCTGGTGAATTGGCTCAACAGGTAAGCATCTGTTGCCAAGTCTGCTAACCCAAGCTTAATCCCTGGGACCCACAAGGTAGAAGGAGAGAACTGACTTCCATAGGTTGTCTTCTGACCTCTGCATCTGGGCCAAATAGCACATGTGTGTCTACACACACACACACACACACACACTTAAATGTAAGAAAAATACAAGAATGAGCTCAGTGCATATAATCTTTAGAGCTGTCAGACCTCAATATATTATTGAGCCCATATAGTAGCACTAAATTTTCAGTAGTAAAAATACTTTACATATTCTGATAAGGTGTGGTAGTTGAGAAACTCCCTTTGCAGGATTGAAGTGCGTGATTTTTTTAAGGAGTATGGAAATTGTGCACTTAAGCCTTGCAATGGGCATGTGCTATGCGCGGTGGTTCTGTCTCTGAGAATTTGTCTGTTTTCAGAAGACATCTCTCCAACTTCAATGGCAAGAGTATTTGTCACAAAGCACACTGATGATAAAACATGGTGACAAACAGCCCAAGGATATTCAACTAAATCAATCATGGCATATCCGTATAATCGGGTATTTGGTATCCAAAATAATGATGAAAAACAAAAACATCACAAGGTCTGAAAGCTTGCTGCTGCTGGGGACCATGTTAAACCCTTGACCCCACCATTCCTCTTCTTTCTGCTGGAAGTACCTTTATCCCATCTCACAGATGAGGAAAACTGAGGGCTAAAAGAGTGATTTGTCCAAAGTCACATGTAGACCATCTGAGGTCAAATGTAGAACAAGCTAGTGTAGTATATGGTTTCAAATGACACCATTTTTAAAGACCTGCAAAGCAAGATGGGTCCCCACGACAAGCAGGGCATCAGACCAGACACACAGCTGGTCCTTAGCTGTGCATATGCATTCAAACCCCAAAGGTAGTACAGTTTTCATCTTGGCATAGACCTCTGAATGGATAAAATTGCCCGGTTTTCTTATTTTTATGAAATTGATCCATGCTGATATCCATGAGCAGAATAAAATTTCATCGACCACCATATGATGCAGTGTATACAAGGTGGGGTAGCCGCCATCCAGTTACCAGGGCTCTACCTGGCTTTAAAGGTTCTTAAAATGCATGTGATGAGTATCCGGGTTCTCCACAGCCCCTGGACAGCCATACATGGACGCCAAACCATAGGCCCCTTCTAGGAACTGTGTAGCCCCCTCCCTTACTCACCCACACCACCGCACCCAGTGACCCAATGATAAAAAGCTTCTACGACCTGTGACAAGCCTCTGATTACACCTGGCCTTGAGCTGCTGGCCCAAAGGAGACCTACACCCCAGGGAGAAGGCCTGCTGGCACTCTCCCTTGGCACCTGTTGGAAGATTCTAGGATCTGAGCCAGACCTGGGATTCTCGGTGGCTTGGGACAGTAAACCTGTGTGGCCTGAGAAGTATCCACAGGAAATAGAAAACCAGGACTCGTTCGCAAGCTATGCACCCGCCCGGCCTCTCCACTCCCGCCTGGCCTTTACAAGGCAGGGTAAGTGCATGAAGGCGGGCGTATTGTGGAGCCAGAGGGTAGCGGATGTGAGTAAGTGCGTGTGTGCGCGTGTCTCCGAATGTGCGCCCCTGTGATCGCGATGGGTCTGGAGCGGGCGGCAGGGCGGGCTGGGAGTTCTCCTCCCCCCACCACATTGAGAAATCTCAGTGAGTCACCGAGTGGTTCTGCATATTAATGAGCTCGCTCTCGGAGAGGGCAGGAGCGAATTTAAAAGAGGCCAGGGTGGGCGGAGGGAAGCTGTGGGGAGATCGCAGCACCCAGCGCCAAGCGCAGCGCAGCAGCACCACGACAGACCGCAGGAGCTCCCACCGACGGGCGCAGCTGGAGCAAGCAGAGCCGGGAGGCGTGATCTAAGCCGAGAACCGAGCCGGGCGGCATCCCCCAGCCGCAGCACCACACACCGGCTCCCTCCTCGCGTCCCTGCTCCCCACCGCGCCCCTCCGGCCAGCATGAGGCTCCTGGCGGCTGCGCTGCTCCTGCTGCTCCTGGCGCTGTGCGCCTCGCGCGTGGACGGTGAGTGCCGCGAGGGCCCTCGGTCGCCGTCTTGTCCCCTCGTAGGGATCCCAAGCACCACTTAAACATCCTGGAACCCCGGGGGTCTCGGGCGGGCACTTCGGGCGGTCGCTGAGCTGGAGACCCCTCTGGCGACTCAGCAGCCTGGCCGCGCTCTCCCACAGGATCGAAGTGCAAGTGTTCCCGGAAGGGGCCCAAGATCCGCTACAGCGACGTGAAGAAGCTGGAAATGAAGCCAAAGTACCCACACTGCGAGGAGAAGATGGTTATGTGAGTTCTGAGGGGCCATGTCCCGTGGCGGGGCTGGATCGGGCTAACACGCTCTTTTCTCTGCCTTTGCCCAGGCCCTGGGGAGCAGTTTGTCATCAATTGTCTGGCAAGCCCTCGGGACATTGCCCGACCGTCTGGAAAAGGGGTCTCTGGCGGGTCTCTCTGAGCGTGTCCTTGTTAGGACTCAAACTGGCAGGCCGGGGGTTTCCTGTGGGCAAGTGGTTCTGGTGCTCCCATTTAGGATATCTACACCAGATCCATTCGGGACACACACACCCAGCGCTGCCTCCCTCTTACCGAAGAGAGAAGTAACAGACCCTTTTCAGTCAGGGGTTTGGCCACAGCGGTGGACAGTTTGGGGCTCTCCGGGCTTTCATTGTGAGAATGCGCCTGTCTCTTCCTCCAGCAACCGGGCTCCTTGTGGGTCCGTGAGTGTGAACAGTGTTGGAGAAAGTGCTCTGCTGGGGTTAATGTGCCATGCCACCGCTGCAGCTGCTTGGTGGGGATGCCGGCAAAGTCTTTAAAACTAGGGCAGAGAGAGAACACTGCGTTTCCTGCTCCTCAGCCTTCCCAATTAACCACTTGAAGCCAGCGCAGCCGTTCCCCCATCAATACACTCTTGGCCAGAAAGGCAGCCCTTGGCAAAACAGCTCCTAAATATTTGCCATGGACCATTGGCCCCTCTTCCCCTCCCCCAGAAACAGGACACACTTTATTCTCAGTCTGGGCAACTGCCTTCCACCGACTGCCCTTGCCGGCCCAGAGGCCTTCAGGCAGTGTCTGTGAAGGAAGGGCACACCCCCACCGGGCACCTCACAACTTCCACCCGCTGAAGTTAGGCTAATTGAGAAAGCCACAGGACCTGAACTGACCCGAATCATGAGTTTCCAAATTAACCTCCTTATAGCGCCCCTTGTCTTGCAGGGCAGATAAAGGAAAACTGCCCTTTTTAAGAGTGGGCTGGCTCGGGGTTAAAAGAAACATGGCAGGCTTCACAGTGTCTTGGAATTTCTAGTTTGGAGGTTCAAAAATATTAGAGAAGATTTCAAGCTGTCTCTCAGACCTCCTGGGGACAAAAATAATACGGAGTGCATCAGCAACTCAAAGGGACAGACTCTGCCCCAGAGAGGTTTGTTCCTTTCTTGACTAAACTCTGGGGAGAGAGAGAACGCTGCCAAGCAAGAGTATGGACAGGCTTCCTGCAGCCTTGGGAAAATTTGCAGGGACCTCATGAGACCAGCACCTCTTCTGGGCCTCCCTCTCCACCCATCCTTGACAGCCTGAAGGCTCCTCACCCTTCTGTCAGACAAGGGACCTGCACTTTTTGCCAAAACAGGTTTTCAGCCACAAAGGTTGATGGCAAGTTCTCCAGCTCACCCTGAGTTTCCCAGAGATCTCGGCTGGGGGGGGGGGATGACGCAAAATATGGGAAAGTCTGGATTTCTTTTTTTAAAAAAATATGTATTTATAACTTGCAGGAGGGTTCATGCCTTCCACCAGGTGTGTCCCAGGAACTAAACACAGCTCCAGGCTTGGTGGCAAGGACACTTACCTACTGAGCCATCTTGTCAGCCCAAGTCCAAGTTCTCAAAGGGCGATTTGTGTCATATATCCATAGAGTTCTCATTCAAGCCTTTGGCACCCCAGAACTGCTGCGACCCAGACTTTCTGACAGTTATTGGATCTTGAATCCAGATTCTGCGTCCTGCTGCTGATTTGCACAACCACAGTAGTCTGAGCAGCTCTGAGGATCAGGACCTGAATTCTTTCTGCTCTCTCTGGCCTACAGAAGTGAGGTGCTCTGTCTGCACCTTGGCCTATGGAGAAAGAGCTTTTTACTCAAGTTGGCCACTCAGGGCAACAGCAGCATTGTGGGTGTGGAGGAAATATGGGCACTAAGTCTGCAGGAGGGCAGAGGTATAGAGGGAAGGCCCCATGCTTGGAGCCTGCAAGGATCCACCTGTCTCCAGCAAAGCGCGATCCGGTTACCTGGTATTATCAAATGTCCATCCTGATCTTAGACAAGGGAGAACAGGAACCTGAAACAGCAGCATCCTGTCCCCATTCTGCTGGCAAGACTGTGTTCTGTTCCTACAGACTGGGAGACTGTATTCATAACGACCCTGCCCCCTTCTAGAATCTGGCCTGTAAACTCTTGACTCTTCTTCCCCTTAGGAACCAGGTGGGGAACAAGCTGACCTCCCTACACATCTGTGACCCCTCAGGAAGTCAGGTCTCCACTTTACATCTTCCAAGTGGACCCTCATTCTCAACCATAGAACATCTTCCCCTCCCAGAAGTTCCCGTAACTCCCACCATCCCCCTAGTCACCCTGACTGAGTGAGGTGCCTCAGACCAACCAGTCAGGCCTGAGCTCACACCCTAAGTGTGTCTTCCTCCGGGCTGCTTCATCTTTTCTAATTAGTAATAACAGTGGTCACTGGACGCACGCCAGATATGGACTCTGTGCATAGGTTATGCATTTAGCTCCTTTAGTAACTCCATGAGGTAGGTCCTTCTGTTGTACCTGTTGAGCAGACAGACCTCCGCTTACAGGGATCCAAGCTTAGCTAGCTGTCTCAGTACCGGGTCCTGCTTCTGCCTTGCAGAGCTAGGCCACCGTGGAGCAGGAGCTTTGGCTAAGAGAAGCCCAGAGAAGGAAGGTTTTATCATGCTGGCCCCAGATGAGACAGCTGCAACCTCACAGTCAAGCATCAAACTGGGCTACCAGACCAACAAGGCCCTTGCTCCAGGATCAGCAACCGCCCAGCCCAGGAACAACTGCGGAGGGTTCAGGGGCTGGGGTTAAGAGTTAGAGACTATGATACATACAGGGCATGGCTCAGCCCCTCTGTAGAGTTCCTCGAATCCAAGGATGGTATTTGGCATGAGCACCTTCTAGCAATGGTTCTGTCTACCTCTGAACCATTGGAAGAGCCCCTGGTCATTGCTCCCGAAGAGCCTTGATGGGGATCGCAGACTGCTGGGTGCAGTCGGGAGGAGGGACTCTCCAGGGGAACGTAAAACTCACTCCCTACAGGCTAACCCCACCATGGAGGCTGAGACACAAAACATTAAAAGGTTGACCTGGGACTGAGCCCTTGAAATTTGAGGGAGGGGCGGGGCCGCTCAGTGCTCTGGTCCTGCAGGCTGTTATTCAGACATCTAACCCTGTCCCCATCCTGTTGTGCTTCAGCATCACCACCAAGAGTATGTCCAGGTACCGGGGCCAGGAGCACTGTCTCCATCCTAAGCTGCAGAGCACCAAACGCTTCATCAAGTGGTACAATGCCTGGAACGAGAAGCGCAGGTACAGCATCTCCTCTCACCTCCCCTCCCACCCCTCACCCACCGCCTGCCCGCCCCGCGCATCCCCCACCCACCCCGAAGAGCTTGGCTATTAGCTATGGCTTTCAGGATGAGAAGGGACCCACACACCATGTCATCTACTAGCCTTATCTAATGTGTGACACCCACAAAATAGCTGACACTGTTCCCATCCCCATTCCACTGATGGGGCACTCACCACTTCTGCTCTCTGGACAGAACTGAGCACGGCAGGTGTGTCCCTTGGTGAACTGAAATCTGCTTTCATTGCATAGTCCTTTGTGAATATTTTTATAAAGACTTGTTTTCAATCTGATGTTTATGGGTATTAAGGCTGCATGAATGTTTGTGTACACCCTACACGCCTGGTGCCCAAGGACTTCAAAAAAGATTCATCAGATCCCCTGATGCTACAGTTACGGATGGCCTTGAGCCTCCATGTGTGTGTCAGGTCCTCTGCAAGAGCTTTGTTCCAATGATTTGAACTGTTGCGCTATCATCCCTCTGGCCCCTAACTTACATACTATAGTCTTAATTGCTTTTTTTAAAATTTAAGTCCCAAGAGCAAGGTGCCCCATGCCCTGCTCTTCTCTGACATCTTCTCAGGCAGGTTCTGGGGGCTGCTTGAGTTCAGCCCCTTCCAATCTGAGCCACTTTACCCAAATGGGGTAGTGGTTAAGATCATTGGTGCCTTGGGTCGGACACCTCTGCTGACTTGGCAGTTTCCCTATCATCCAAAGGGAGCTTCCTACTTCTACATTGGGGTCCCCAGGTCTGGCCTTGGAAGGAGAGGTCCCTTCCCAGCTCATCTGTACCCTGTGACAATGAGCCTGTCCTGGAGCAAGCCACTCCTCAGCCCCCCAAGGCCTGTTCTCTTGTACCTTTACCTGCAAAGCAAAGCTGGGAAGGACACACACTTGGGCGACTTCCAAGGATACCAGAATCCTGCCCTTAGAGGGGGCAACCAAGACCAGGTGGGGACAGGGTCTGACTTTCACAGCACCTGGAAAAGTCAGGGCAAGAAGCCAGGACCCTGTGGGGTGCTGGGTCTGGCACCGCTTTCCCGGTATGTGGCCCAGTGCCCCTCAGCCCCAGCCTTGTGACCAGCTCTCAGAGCTGATACCCCTGTTCAGCTTCTGCACCTGAATCCTTTCTTGCGCTCTCCAAAACTGCCTCATCTGCAATTGCCCGAAATAGAAAGTGGTGAAGCGAGCGTGTTCCCCGCATATCTGATGGGAGTGAAGCCCTCTTTCTGGTCAGGGCATGCAGCTCACACAGCAAAAGCAGAGCCTGCCCCACCCACCCACCCACCCCTGCCACCCTCCAGGCCCGTGTCATCAAAAGCAGGAGGACTGCAGGGTTAGCTTGTGGAGGGTTCAGAAGTCTTGTCCAGACACCTGGAGACATTCCGACCTTCTGCCCATCTTGTTTCTTCCTCCACATGGGCGTGTCTTTGAAGAGGGGGCACCTGTGGGGATCCCGAAGCCCCACCCCCCACCCCAAACCTACTGTTCTACGTTTGCAGATTTCTCTCATGAAGGCTGTGAGAATTCTCTGCTACTGGGCCTCTACCAATCTGCTACATCAAGAGTTCAGAACCACTGTGGGGGGTATTTGCTTGTTTGTTTACTTGTCTGTTGACAGAGGTCTCACAGAGCCCAGGCTAGCATCCACTCAACCCGAAAGCAGAGGATGACTTTGAATCATGAATCCTAATCCCTCCACCTCCCAAGTGTTGTGATTGCATGGTTACAGGCCCATGAGTTCTGAATTTATCTATATCATAGGGCAGGGAGGCATCCGGGAAGAGGGAACCGCCATGCCTGCCCTTTCTCTTCCCACCTTTTAACCCCTTTAAAGGATTAAAAATGACTTAATGAATATAGATGTAGATAAAAGAACTGATCAAAGTCAGAGAGAGAGAGAGAGAGAGAGAGAGAGAGAGAGAGAGAGAGAGCAAACACACATGCTCGATAGCTCAGGATGGAGGAAAGAGAAGAATGCAGGGCAGGGCCAGGCCCCTGGTCCATGGCACCAGTAAGGGAGCTCAGAGCCCCTTAGAGGCCAGAATCTCTAGCTGTCACCAAAGGCGGCTGCATCCAGGATTTCTATTTTATGTATATGTGTGTGGCTGTGTGGCTGTGTGCCTGTGTGGCTGTGTGGCTGTATGCCTGTGTGCCTTGTTAGTGCAGGTGCCCGAGGCAGCCAGAAGAGGGCTTTGGAGCTGGAGTTATAGGCATTTGTGAACCAGCTGATGTGGGTGCCAACACCTGAACTTGGGTCCTCTGGCAGAGCAGTGACACATCTTGGGCACGATCTCTCCAGTCCTAGGCAGTTTATTTCCATGCCTGATCAAGGCATTTCGCTGGAAAGAGGAGAAGTAAGCTGAGTGTGGAGTACAGCCCGGAACCAGGACTACGGGCATGAGGGAGCATGCCCATCTTTGTGTGAACTCTGGTGTTGGCTTTGATCACCTCTTCAGAGCCATCTCCCCTCTCCTGGCCCCTGGCCTGGGAGGAAGCCCACAGACAAACCCACTAGCAGCAGCTGTAAGTGGCCTGAGCCGCTGACCACTCTGTCCTCTCTTCCTAGGGTCTACGAAGAATAGGGTGACCAATCTCGGGAGGAAAAACTCCAGGCCAGTTGAGAGACTTCAGCGGAGGACTTTGCAGATTAAAATAAAAGCCCTTTCTTTCTCAGACAAATCATATATTGCTACGAAGCTCTTCTTACCAGGGTCAGTTTTTACATTTTATAGCTGTGTGTGGAAGGTTTCCAGATGTGAGACCCAGCTCTCCCGTACTCCAGACTTCATCTCCAGCGGCTTTTTGCTGAAACGGGGAGGCAGGGCGGGGGGGGGGGATAACTCAAGTCTTTCCTTTTTAAAATAAGGGGTTTTGTGTTTGTCCATATGTGACTACACATCTGAGCTTTATAAGCGCCTGGAAGGGACAATGAGCTTGGTTGAGGCATTTCATTGCACCATTGCTCCGGTCCAGGCTTGCGAAGCTTCCGCTCAGGGGGCCTGGCGCCTCGGCACAGCTGCCATGGGCTCTCCTGGGCTTATGACTGGTCAGGGTTTCCTTGTGACTTGACAGTGGCCCCTGTTGTAGGGCCACTGGGAGCAGGTCCTTCGACATCTGTGCCGCCAGGAACTCAATCTTGTTACCAGGATAAGCTTCATCCCCACCCCCCTACCCCAGTTCGTGATCAGGCAAGCGATCCTTAAAGGAGCTGGGTCTTTCTTCCAACCTGAAGGTTTCTGCTGCTTTGGTAGTTGATGCTTCTGAAGTATGGGACGGTCCCGGCACTGTGAGAAAACAACCCAAGGAAGAAACGGAAAGATTCAGGGATATATACACAACACACAGCCGGAGCTACACCTCCTATTGGCAAGGGGAAACTTTCAAAGCTTTGTTTCTTCCCCGCACCCCAACAGAAAGCACACTCCCCTTCAGTGCAGATGCAAACAGTGCAGTCCTCTGTGGGAACTAGGAGTTAGGATGATCCTATACCCTCTCCTGTGTACATACCACCTTCCGTGCGCCCTGCCGCACGCTGCCCTTCAGTAGAGGCCGCACTGGACGGCTGTTTCTCTGCTATGTAAATGCTGAGAGCCTTGAGCTGCATGCAGGTTTCATGTTCTTTCTAAGATGAAAAAGAAAGTAATAAAATATATTTGAAGTTACCAAAATTCTAGACTCCTGGACTTTTTTTCTCTCTAAGCCAGATAACAATAAAATGTTGGTCTCACCCTAAATAAACGGGCACAAGCGTGTGGGAGAGAGGAGTGGTGTGTCACAAACAGCCTCGAGGGAATGTGTGGGGTTGGTGCTGTTTCTGGGAGCCAAGGGGCCAGGCCTGGAGGCGAGAGTTCCCCACACTCTGCTGCAGCAGGTTGGTGGGAGCAGGCAGGTGGAGGCCTGCAGGACTGGGGAGTCCCAAGGATAAAGTGATTCAAGATGCCTTAGGGCCCACAGTTCTGAGACCCCTGTGCAGGGGTAGGAGCTCCACTGAGAGGCTGAGTGGGGTCTGATTCTGCTTCTGGGGGATGCCTGTGACTGCAGAGCACACCTGATGGTATCTCTGGGGACGCGGTGATGGAGGCAAGGCACTGAGACAGGCTGGACCAGTGACCTGTGTCCTACTGAGTACAGCTCAGTCAGCCAGTCCCATCATCCTCTAGTCTCTCTGCTCAAGGGGACAAGTCCTTACACTAGGAACCTGGAGCCACACCTCTCCACTTCTGGCAAATGGTCTCATGACACTGGCTCTGCTCACATTTACAAGGACACACAAAGTCCCCTCTGCTGATGCGCCCCACAGGATGATGTGAGCCTTCCTACCATGACTCCTCCACCCCATCTTTTGCTTTCCTTCATTAGAGAGGAAAATGGCATAGTAACCCTAATCTGAAGCCAGAGACCAATAGACATTACAGAGTAGGAGAGACCCCATAGAAAGTCACAGGCCAGAGCAGGGACAGCAGAGGACAGGCTTCACCTCCCAGGGTCCCCAAAGCCTGGTTGGTCCTGGTGTAGCATCAGTAGGGCCTCACAAGCAGGGACCCTGTGTGAAGCAGTCTCTAGAAAGAGTCCTGCTTCATTGCAGCTGACAGCACTGGGTGCTGAACACTCACGCTGCTCCAAGTTCTAGACTCACTTCGTCCTCACTCAATACTCTACACATCCCCTTCTCACGGTCGCTCTGCCAAAGGGCCTGTCCTGGTCACCTAGACTCCCATTAGAACTGGCTACATGGTTTGCTCCCTGTTCAAATGCACCTTTATGTAAGAATAATTAACTTGCTGTGTTTTAAATAGGGTATTTTGAATGTTTGCAGTGCCAGGAAATAGTTAAAGCTTGAGGTAATGGATATGATAATCACCCTGGTCTGATTATTATGCATGGTACCCATGTATGGAAATATCACATTGTGCTCCATGAATATGTGCAATTCATTTCTGTCAATTTAAAAACTGTTCGAGTGACAAGAAAGGAAAATGGCAGGTTTCAAGACGGCAACAGTTGAACATTAAACCCAGCATGGATCCTTCGTAGATAGGCCCAGGGCAGCTCACGTGCCGCAAGCCCAAGAGGCAGCCTGTCCCCAGTGTCAGCTTCAATACCCATGAGGGTGACAGAGTGGCCTCGAATTACTCCAGGATTTACTCTGTAATGTGGCTGTTTTGAATGTCTAATGAGATGTGTTCTCAGAGGCCAGGGATTATCTCATGGTCATCTTCCTTTAAAACGTCCCAAAATCTATGAAAGTACACGGCACCATGTTTGCTCCTTACCCATGAGCCATCTCTGCCACCATGGAGGCGTAAAGCTGAGGGCAAAACTGAGGCTATATGGACTATGTTCTTCCTAGGCAAACCTGATGTTTAACTTCTAAACTGGGAATGATAAAAGACCAAACCCACTTCACTATAGATTAACAACCTCGGCATCATTTCTTGACTTGTGGAATCTTAAACTAACCTGGAACAGAGCTCAGTAGTAGAGTGCCTACTGGCACAGGTGAGGCCCTGGGTTTGATTATCAATGGCACGAATCAACCTAAAACTCACCTGCCATAGTTAGTGTCAGCTGTTAGCTCAACACAAACCTAGAGCCTTCTGGGAAGAGGAAACGAGACTGAAGAACCACCTTTATCAAACTGCCCTGTGCCCATGCCAGGGAGGCAGTTTCTGAATTGCTAATCAATGTAGGGAGTCCAGCCCGCCCCCTGTCAGAGGATGTGGGATGTCCTTCTGGATGCTGTGAATATGTTTTGTTATCATAGGTTAATGAAGAAGCTGACTAGACCAATAGCCAGACAGAATATAACCAGGCAGGAAATCCAAGTAAAGATACAAGGAAAAGGAAGGCAGAGTCAAGGAGACACTGGAAGATGCAAAATGTGAGTCAAAGCCACGGCCACATGGCAATACATAGATTAATGGAAATAGGTTAGTTTAAGATGCTAACTAGTTTAAAAGCTAGTTGATAATAAGCCTAAGCCACCGCCAGACAGTTTGTAATGAATATTAAACCTCTGAGTGGTTATATGGGACCTGGAGGGTGGGAGAGAAGCCTCCAGTTACAGTCAGAGGTGCCATCCCCAGGCCTAAGTAACATAAGGAAGGTAATTGAGCAAAGGCGTGAGCCAGTGAGCTGTACCTCTGTGGTTTCTGCTTCCGTTTCCTGCCTCCAGATGCTTGCCTTTGCTTCCCTCGATGATGACCTGTAATCTGTGAGATAAAATAATTGCTTTGCTTCCTGAGTTGCTTCGGGGTTTGGTGTTTACCATAGCATTAGATAGTCAAGCGAGGCCATTCCCTCCTTCACTTAAACGAAGCACTTCCAGCTTCAACTCGGTATGCATCAGTCGCCATGGCTGGACACTGTGGGGCCATTACTGACTAAAATAGTTACTTACACAAGCATCACAACATTGCAACGGCCGATCTGATAACTCAAACAACTACTGATAAAGGGAAAGGCAGAGCATACAGTGTGGAAATGCTGGACAAAAGGGACATTTGTGTCCTTGAAGGACAGAGCAGAAAGCTGCAAGATTTCATCATGCTATTAAAATCACCTACAATCTAAGATGTTGATTATTTCTGGAATCTTCCACCTAATATTTTTGGGCAATGACTAACTATAGTTAACAAAACATCAGGTACTTGAAAGCACTGCCCGTGAGAGGCTGCTGTTCTCAAACACCACCAGCTGGCTGTTGGCATTCTGGCTTCAGGACTCTCCAGGAGCACCAAGCAGCTGTTGTGTGCACCAAGACCCCAAGGGATGGGGGTTAACTGCTGTGCCCCCCACCGCCGCACCCCACCCCTGGCATGAGCCACAGGAGACAGGGAATTCCCATAGTGAGTGTAGTTTGAAAGTTAAAGTGGGAAGGGTAGAGGTGTTAAGAGCCGGAAAGCCAGCCTCCTTCCTATTACTGTAGTTGGTGTAGATTCAAACTGGACTCGACAAAGAAAGAGGAAACAGGGAAAAGGGGTGAGCTCTGGGGGAAGCTTTCAGAGTGTCAGAACCCTGCTCCTGAGGTGGTGTTTGCTCTGGGGAAGCTTTCAGAGTGTCGGAACCCTGCTCCTGAGGTGGTGTCAGCTCTGGAGGAGCTTTCAGAGTGTC